GTCTACCCCATAACTGAGAGTTAGTGTGAGTGTCTCCCTTAACTCATGGGCAATATGTAAAAGGGGAGGAAGATCTAAGAAAAATCTAGGTATTATAAGGTAAATGAATGCTGTATAATCAATCAATAAATGTCCACCACACTAAGAAAAAATGTTCCTTGTTCTATGAACTTCCTACCAGACAAAGGGTCATTTCCAGATTTCACAGTAGTCTTTTCTCAACAAAAATTTCACAAACTGTCCCCTCCTCTATAAATGCCCTTCTACTAATGTCATAGTCATACCCTGAGTTTACCAGATTTCTCATGTACACACTATAGACTAGTCAAAGAATTTTTTCTGATTTGTGAATATAAACATATATGCACTTATACATACCTATGTCTTAGACCTGCATAACTGTACAGCTAAAGGCCATCTGCTTTTTAATAATCTTTATTGAAAAACAAAAATCACATTAAACAAGGGTAAACCCAGACATTTGATAGTTCCATATTACATAGCATTTTTCATGTATACTGACTGAAATTCATTAATGAATTTTACTCCCTGCGGAAGTGTTCTGACTAAGCAAACTTAAAAGAGAATAAAGAATTGGCATTAGAGTTCAAAGAAAAGTAGAAGACTAAAAAAATGACATATGATATGAAGAGTAGCATTCCCTACAGCCTCCTCCCTAACTTCTACCTCTCTGCCAGAAGAGACAAAAGATAAAGAAAAAAAAGCAAAAGTAGACAGAATAAAGAAAGATGTAAGAGGAAACTACTGCATGTGAATGACTATAGTGAAAAAACTAAAGCTCTGTATTAACTGTGGAATATAATTTATAAAACTGCATTACTTTTATTATCATGCACTAAACACACACACAAATTGGAATTATTCAGAGATAAGATCTCCAAGGGGACCTAAACATAATAATATTTAAGTATAGTAAAACCCAACCAAAAGAAAATTAAAAAGTACTTAATTAAAATTTTTCCCACCTGATTTTTAATAACACATTGTTAACCATTAACAAGACACCAAACGAAGTGATTTATTGTAAGAAAGATTTTCAACAATAATATTGGAACCAGTACTTTCTTGGTTAAACAGAAATTCTGATTAGCTATATACACCCAAGTATATTTTTTAAAAAATTTCGAATTTAAACATGATATATGAGGGCTGTCCAGAAAGTATCCAGCCATTGTTAATATAACAAGAACTGTTTGCGCGACATCGAGGTAACCTGGTAGCCAAGGAGAGTGGACTGGGATGCACATGCATGAACAATGACTTCATTGTACTAGTCAGTGGGGCACTAGACACCGTTGAGTGAGCATGTGTACTGTGTGTCCATCTCATTCAAAATGAGTGAGCAGAGCAATGAATCTGTACCAAATTTTGCATTAAGCTTGAACATTCCTCTGCAGGAACTATTCGGATGATTCAGAAGGCTTTCAGGGACGATGCAATGAGTGCTACTAAAATAAAAGTGTGGCAGAAACGCTTCAAAAATGGTCGACAATCTGTTGAAAGTGATCCATGTTCTGGAAGGCCTGCAACAAGCAGAACACCTGCGAATGTTGAACGTGTACAAGTTAAGTTAAGAGATGCTGGGAGAACTACGTGAGTTCCCAAGGTGCCTACTTTGAAGGGGACTGAGGTGTCATTGTCCTATGTACAATGTTTCTTGTATCTTGTATTGTTTTCAATAAATGTCTCTATTTTTCCTATTACATGGCTGGATACTTTCCAGACAGATCTTGTATAGATGTGGGAATATAGAGATATAATTAGGACGGTTAAACAGTCTCTTTTCAGAGATTAATTTGAACTCTAAAATGCAATATTTCCTTTGAAAAGATCTTAGATACCGGTATTAGTGTTTAAAAGTATTTTGAATGTCCTATCTCTGAAGACTTCTAAATGGGCCATGGTGTAGGCACAATCAAGTTCAACTCAGTACACTCATGTGCTACTACAGAGAGCCCCAAGGACAGTCTGGTAAAGATTTAACATGAACGTTCAGTCCAGTGCTTTGAATCCATTTCTATCAGTTCTTACCGTAACTAATGAGACCCCAACAGCCAAAATGGTGAAGCAGATGGAGAGCAAGTATCCTTTTCAGGAAGACTTGGACAATGCAGGAGATAAATTTGTAGCAGTTGACTTGTTGGTCAGGTGTTGCAGGCCTTGCAAAATGATCAAGTCTTTCTTTCATTCCTTCTCTGAAAAGAATGGGTATTCCAACATGGTGTTACTTGAAGTGGATATGGATGATTGTCAGAATGTTGCTTCAGAGTGTGAAGTCAAATGCATGTCAACCTTCTATTTTTTAAAAAAGGGACAAAAGGTGGGTGAATTTTCTGGAGCTAATAAGGAAAAGCTGGAAGCTACCGTTAATGAATTAATCTAATCATGTTTTCTGAAAACATAATCAGCCATTTGCTGTTTAAAATTTGTAGTTTTTTATTTACAAAAAGTATGAAGTATGGAGACTCAAATGCCATCTGATTAAAAATGAGAATAAAATATTAATTCTACCATTAAAAAAAGATCTAATATACAATTACATGAAAGCATTCACATAAACCACAAGAGGAAAGGTGGAATGTGATTCACCATCACCTTTTTACTGTTCTCCCATATACGAATGAGGTTTCTTAGAATCATCATTTATCATCATTACATTGCAATTTTTATTATCTTAGCTATCCTTAATCAGCCAAATTGCAAATTCCTGCTTCTCCTTCTTGTTTCCAATAAACCTTGGCTATGAAGCCTTTCCAATCTCTCTTGAACAGATGTGAGTCCTTCTTTCTCCTATGCTCCCACAGCATTTTGAACACACCTACATTATTGCATTTTTAATTGTTTCTTTGCATGACCATTTCCAAATTAAGTTTTAATCTCCTAGAGGAAAATATTCTATTATTTTGCCAAAGTAACTTCCACTTTGTTGGAGTTAAATATATACTTGTCAAATGAATGAATGATCAATCAAAACTCTGTATCAAAGAGTAATTTTTCAATAAATTATATAACATAGAGTAAGAATTAAGATAGCAAAACAGCTTTTCTTTCACATTTTTCATTCCCACACTCCCTGTATTGCTACGGAAAAGGGCTATCATTGCTTTTTTCTTTTATTTTTTAATACAAAGGAGAATGTATTTCCTGCCCCAATCAAAGGCCAGCCTCTCCACTTCTATTCCATTCCCTCTCAGTTTCTCACATAGTTCGTTCCCACAATTATCCCCTCTCATGTATCATCAGTTATTCTCTTAAGTATTCCCATCAGCTTACATGGGCTAGTACCTTTATCTTAAATTTTTTTAATATAAATAAAACAAATAAAAATAAACCCCTCTTGCCCTCATATCCTCTTCTAGCTACTTTCTCATGTCTCAGATCCCCTTCACAGCAAAACTTCTTGAACTTTATCATGGTATCTGCTTTAACTTTCTGACTCCCATTCTCTTGTCAACTCACTGCAATTAACTTAATAATGCTCACCTGGACACTATAACCCATGCCCTATGGCTTAACAATGATAGCCAATCACTAATCAATGTTATATCTGTAAACAAATGAGAATTCTTGACAAACAACTTTGTCCACTCCCTGTGGACAGCCCACTCCCTGTCTCCCTTTTTTTGCCTTTAAAAATCCACTTGTAACTGTGGCCAATGGGAGTGTATATTTAGGGCAACTTGAATCAATGCTCCTGGGTTACAATGCTCAAGGTAGTCCCAAATGAACTCTACTTTGTTAATTTTGCCTTAGCTTCTTCCTTTTAGGTCAACAAAGGGAAATAGGCTGCAAAAGAAAAGAAAAAGGAAAATCCTAGGACGATGTGTCATAAAGCCAAACAAGAAAGGGTTAACACCATTTTGTAACATCAATCACTCTGCTACTTGTCCTTAACATAAATGGGAAATTGAGTTGACTGTTCCTGTTTACCAAGGGTTTTTTGAAAATTCCTACCCACTGGTCCTACTTAGAAAATAGAGGTATTTCCATCTAAATTATCCAAATGCCATATTTACGGAAAACTCCGCAGACCATTACACTACCCATCCCTAGAACATTTTTCCTTACCTCTTTCTTGTAACTAAGTCCTATCCTCTCAAATTGCTGTTTAATTTCAGAATGGATTCTTCCACAGCTTCAAATCACTCAAGCAATCTCAGTCGGCTGTGCCAAGGGATTCCCAGCATCAAATAGCTTCAGACTGGGGACTGAGCATTTATTAAAAGTATGTAGTCTGAGCCAAGAGGACCTGAGACTGTGCAAGTTTCTTCAATGCTTGGAATTTATCTTAGTTTCTGTCATTTGAAAAATGGCATTTGTTGCAGATTTATTTTCTACGATCCCAGTAAAGTTTTAAGTGTATAATCACGATTTAAACATCACCAGGATTCTTACAAAGATAGGGTGGTAGGGAAGCAATTTGGTAAGCTTTACACAATCTTTTTCAAGCCCCATGTTGTATGTACTTAAGAAAATCTACTTATGCTCCACTTTTACTACCCAATTTAGGAGGGTCTGAACCTACCTTTTTTTTGCACTTGGGAAATCGGAATCATGGCCCTGCTAAGATGACAGAGGAAAGAGACAAAAAGAAAGAGAGAGAGAGGGAGAAACTTCGACACACCCCCACGAGGCTGCTTGCTTTATATGCTAACACTGCTGAAGATCCTGTAGGGCGAGGCAGAAAAGCCGGTTTTTCTTTTTTCTTTTCAAATTTCAAATTCCCTGAAACCAAAGGCTGGACTCCAAACAATCTGGTTTGGAACTAAACTGCCTCCCGCTTTCCCAGCATTGAAAAATAACTCGGCCTCGCCGCGCACCTCAGGAGGAAGAAACAGCTCCAGGGAAGCCGGGTGAAGCCCAGTGCTTGGCCCACCCGCACGGCCCCAGCCCACGCCAGCCGGTGCCAGCCTCCGCTGCCCAGCCACGCCCCGCAGTCTCCTGGGCCCCCGCGGGCTCCGGTTCTGACCGCGCCCCCTGAGTCACGTGACCTAGCCGCGCGACCAATCAGCGCAGTCCTATGGAGTATTCAAATCCGCGGCGGTGCCGACGGTTGTGGGGCGACACGGCTCTGCCAGTGTTGCGGGACCCGAGTGTCGTCTTCTGCCGCCATGGACCCCGCCGTGCACTGACAGGCCTATGGAGAGTCGGGGTGTGCCTCCCGGGCCTTACCGGGCCACCAAGTTGGTAAGACAGAGCAGATCGATGAGACTGGTCAGCGGGCTGGCGGTGGCCACCCCTTTTACGTGAGACCGTTCGTAGTTTTACCCTGGGCGCAAGACGGGTCCCAGTCCCCTAGGTTCGCTGAAAGGCCGGGGAGGGGAATGAACTGGGATCGGACCCTTGCCGGACACGCCTCTCCCCCTGCTCTGAGGGTCTGGGCCTTTGCTCCGGGCTCTCCGGGACCACAGACCCAAATGGAAGGGCTCCGGAAGGCCACATCCTACTACTCTTTATTGGGCGACTCCTGTGCCTGGGGCGTCATAGAATATTCCTATTTCGGCCGCTTCCCACGCCTGATTTTCTACCACCAATCCCCTTCCTTTCAGAATTAGAGAACAATTGAGAATGAGTTCCAACGCTTTGTAGGGTTAGGCTGGGGGCAAGCCAGAATGTGACAGTTTCGTTTATTGGGTCCGTAGAATTTGATGCAGGATGTACTGGTGGAATAGCAGTAGGAAATAGCTGCCTGTTTCCAAACAGTACTTTTAAGGACCCGTCAGTAACCACTGTTGGTGCTCACTGGATTTGTATGCACCGTGCTCTTATATAGTGTTTTGTGCATTGGGATCTTCAATCCTTAAGATGCTGTGCTTCTGGTTATGTGACAGACATTAAGAGAGTCACTTTTGTGAGCCTCAAGTTTCCACATTGGTAAAGTAGGGCTAATACATGCCCGCCAAGTATCTGCTTGTGAAAGAGTATTGGGATCTATAGAATAATAGCAGGCAAGTTATCCTCAGGAAATTCTTTAGGTGGGCATGTATTACTAGCCTACTTTACCAGTGTGGAAACTGAGGCTCATAGAAGTCAACTGACTCTTCTAAAGTCATAAACAGTAAATGGCAGAGCTGGAAGAATTCAGATCTTCCTGGTACAGTTGACTTGGATTCTGCTGCTCAGCAAGTTATATTAATCAATATAAAGGACAGAATTTAGAACAGGCAGGAACTCTAATCATATAGTCCTGTCACATTATTTAAAAAGTCATTAAATTAGATGAAAATAATACAAGCACCTGAAAAAGAAAACTTAACGCTTACTAGTATTAAATCATTTTATCATTACAACAAGCCCATTGTTGTAATGGGTTTACATGAGGTAGGTACCATTGTCCTCATTTTATGGTTAAGGAGATCGAGGCATAGAGATTAAAGTAAGGCTGAAACGGTCATAAACAATAAGTGGTAGAGCTAAAGCTGGGAAAACAACCCTAGTAGCCAGACTCCAGAGCCAACTCTTAAAACTAGTACACAATGCTGCATCTCAGAAAAGTTATTCTGTAATCTCCTTTAGGACAGAGACCCCATCTGTCATTTTTATTACTGTTTTTCCAAGCCAGTACATAGTGGGCAGCTCAATGTAAGTTTCTTGAATAAATAAATATATAAAATGGGAAGATGTGGGAAGAAAAGAATACAGTCATCATGTTGTCAACCCTTAAATTCCGTGTTTTGATACCAGGACCACATAGGAAAGATAAGTGGTAACATAGCCGATAGTGGCATAACTGGGATTACAAATTAGATTTCTTGACCTCTAACATAGTATTTTTTTTTTTTGATTCAAAAATATGATGTTTATTCTATACCACCATCGCCTCCACGCTTTACAGTTAGAGCTGTCACAAACTTAAAAGTTTGGCTGATTTGAGGACAGTTTGGAAAATATCAATATCTTTTTAAAATGTAGATATGTCACAGGTCATTAAATATGCAATGGATTTACAGCTTAGTGTTCTATGTTCACTGTAGGAATCTTAACAAAAGAGATACTTTAATAATTACATAAGTCATTTTGGTATTAAAGGTCTTTTACAAGTAAAACTACTATTTAAGAATTTTTGTGATATAATCAGATGTGAATTAAAGAATTGTCTTTGCCTAATGTATTTCATTATTTTTTGTAAAGAAAAAAAATAATGTTGCTCTGGCTGATCTTGAACTCCTGGACCCAAGTGATCTTTCCACCTTAGCCTCCAAAAGTTTTGGGATTACAGGTGTGAGCCACCATGTTCAGCTGTCTAATGTATTTCCGATCAGTAAGAGATTGCATTTTTGTTTAATTTTTTTAAAATATTTTCCCCTTTTTTTACAGTGGAATGAAGTCACCACATCTTTTCGAACAGGAATGCCTCTAAGAAAACATAGACAACACTTTAAAAAATATGGCAATTGTTTCACAGCAGGAGAAGCAGTGGATTGGCTTTATGACCTATTAAGAAATAATAGCAATTTTGGTCCTGAAGTTACAAGGCAACAGACTATCCAACTGTTGAGAAAATTTCTTAAGAATCACGTAATTGAAGATATCAAAGGCAGATGGGGATCAGAAAATCTTGATGACAACAATCAGCTATTCAGGTACTGAGTGGATATGTATTGGCAAAACTGAATTACAGTAAAGTTTTATCTCTACTTTCATTGTACTTTTATAAAACAGCAGCTTTTCAAAAGAAGTAATAGTTTATTTAGAAAATTGTTACTGCTCTTCATCCAATTAAAACCATTTAGGAAAATTATAAAGTGAAATTTAATTGCTATAAAATTCAAGCTTTTTAAATGTTAAGATAGTGTATATAATGAAGTAGGGAATTGGGAGGGAAACAGTGAGATATTATTACTTCTGCATATTCGGAAAGCTTTATAACATTTCAAGGACAGCATTACTGACTTTTACTTTCATACATTATAGAATTATACGACAAGTTCACAGGTCCTTGCCTTCAAATAACGTAATTTAATATAACCTAAGAATACATGTGATAATAGCAAACTTTAAAATATGTAACAAATAATAGAAGAAATATAGGTTAAAGAAAATATTTATTAAGCAGTTGTCATGTACCAGAAACTCTGCTTTATGATTCACATGTTTTCTTATTTAATCCCTAAAATAACCAAGCATGGTAGATATTAGTCCCTTTTTACAGATGAGGAACGGAGACCATTCTTCAACAAATCTTAATCTGTCTGCCTGAAATATCCTTGTGCCTTGAAGCAGTCTACTCATTTGTCAGACTAGTAAATTTACAAATTTCTTCTAATCTCAGCTCCTTTGAAACCTCCATGGAGCCCTTCTGACTCCCTGAGGCCAGCACAAAATACCTAGAAATAAATTTTACCAAAAATGTGTAAAAGGCCGGGCGCGGTGGCTCAGGCCTATAATCCTAGCTCTCTGGGAGGCCGAGGCGGGCGGATTGTTTGAGCCCAGGAGTTCGAGACCAGCCTGAGCAAGAG